TAATACCGAGTAAAATCTAAAATGGAGGCCATGCTGACAATGATTCCGGGAAACGCAGGACAACTCATGGAATGTTAATGAAGTCCCTGAAAGGCTCTAGGCCAAAGTCCACCCCAAAGAAATGTTACTGGAACCCAGGAAACAGCCCCCAACAGATTTGGAGATAGCCCATCCCAAAGAAGTGATAAGCCCATCCCAAAGAAGTGATAAAGAAGTCCTTCCTGCCCAGATTACTTGTTTGGCCCACCTGTGTCCCAACCCTTCCCCCTTACATTCCATCACCAAACCTATAAAAAGGGGAACACATTTGCCCTTCAAAGGATTCCACCACTTGGGTCCCCTTCTTCCTCCGGGAGAAGTCTTTTCTGCTGTCCTTTAATAAACTTCTAATTTCTACTCTGACCTTGCCTTGGCATGCTTTTCTGGTGTTATTCTTCAACATTGGGGAAGCAAGGACTTGTCACCGGGCAACAGCGGTAACACGGCTCGCCATCACAGATGCTCTGGAGGAAGACCTGGATGAAGCCAAGGCCTCTTTTCAGCCACATCAGTGCCAGCCTGGCCCCCACTTTGGGCCATTCTGCTCCATACATTTCCTTCTCCACCTCCAGGATGTTCTGCAGGGTCCGGAACTTGGCTGGGTTGGTGTCATACACAGCTTTGATTTTCGTGATGTTGCCACTTATGTTTGCCTCGATGGGTGTAAACACGGGGGACCCAAGGCAATCGAAGAAGGGCGGCAGGTGGGACACCGCCTCCAGGAAGGGCCCGGTCTCTATCTGCTTGTCCGCGGGCAGCGACTTCAGCAGGTGCTCAGCCAGCAGCGCCATTTCGGGGTCGAGGCCCGCGGTGATGCCCCAGCCGGCGCCGCGGGCGTCCACGTCGCCCCCCCCCGCCTCCCCGGCCGCCGGCGTCAGCGCGGGGCCGTCACTGCAGCCTGCCGCAGGCTCTGGGGACGCCAGCGTCGCCACTTCCGCCCGCGCCTCGCCCTGGTAGCCGAGCGCCTCCCTCATTTCTTTTTTACTTTTTTCCAAAAGTATTTGTGTCAATCATAACACATTTAAAAAAAAGAGGTAATCAAAAGAAAACAAAGATGCCCACTGTACCCATGGAGAGGGGACATCACCAGTGTTTTGGGATGCGCATTGTCAGTGGGATATCAGTTTAGCATCCTACTTATTTTTCTGTTTTCTTTTCTTTTTTCTTTCTTTTTTTGTACTGGGGATTGAACTCAGGGACACTTGACCACTGAGCCACATCCCCATCCCTTTTTTGTATTTTATTTAGAGACAAGGTCTCACTAAGTTGCATAGCACCTCGCTTTTGCTGAGGCTGGCTTTGAATTCACGATCATCCTGCCTCAGCCTCCCAAACTGCCGGGATTACAGACGTGTACCACCATGCCTGGCTTTTCTGTCTGTTCTTTAGAAGTAAAAATGAGTTCAGAGCTGGACATGATGTCACATGTCTGTAGTCCCAGTGACTGGGGAGGCTGAGGCAGGAGGACAGAGAATCTGAGGCCAGCCTGGGCCACTAAGCAAATCCCTGCCTAAAAAAAAACCAACATAGAACGAAAGTACTTTGTAGTTTGTATTGAACAACTTCGTGACTTCAAATTATCACTTAATTTAGAATGAACACTTCTCTGCTAAGTAATTTTGTACATCATCGTTTATTATTTATTTTTATGGGTAGAATTAGTGTTTCTTTTTATGTCTTCACATTTAGTAGCTGAGTGATAGTCCATCATGTGGGTATCATAATGCATCCGACCACTCACCTCCATGGTTTGGTTGTTCCAGACTTTCTCTTTTCAGGCACTGCACTGCATGGTGTGTACTCAAGACCCTTCCTCCCTCTCACCTTTCAACCTTCTCAGGTTCTGCAGTCGTCCCAAGTTGGGCCAGCAGAGGGCGTGGTGGGCTTTCCTGCACAGAGCAAGGCCAGGAGGCTGTTTTTCTATAGTACTTGTACTGTGAAAATTATCCCATTTTGAATCTTCAGTAAGTATCCACAAACTCCAAAGGGATAATAAAAGTTATTAATTTTTCTATGAAGATCAAACACACACACCCCCAACACTCAAAGTAGTAAACTGTGAAGACTTAACAAAGGAATGAAATGGCCTGACGCCCAATTCAGAATAACTAAAGGAGCACTCTGCTTCATGCAGGGTGACAAAGTCTCTGTGGGGGTGGCAGGGGGCAGTGACAATGCAGCAGGAAAGCAGACTCAACCTGAGGATACTGGCGGTACCACAGCAGGAATCCAAACTGCCCAGGATTCACAGCTCCTCAGGAATGTAAATTTCAACAGGGTGTTGCCATTTCTTTTTTTTCTGTGGAGCTGGGGAGCAGTCCAGGGCCCTGACAGTGCTAGCAGGCGCTCTACCCCAGAGCTACTCCCCCGGCCCAGCAGGCATCTAGCGCGTCCCATCTGTTACCCACCAGCCTTTCTGGTAGGCAGTACCGTGCGTTTTATTAGATGGTGCTGCAAACGGGTTCTACAGCCATCTTTCTCAACTCTCACCAAGATCATGAAGTCCTGAGGGCAGTGACCTGCCTACACTTCTTGGCACACACAATTATGCCCACCAAATTACTAAGTCCAAGGTGGGTACTTAGCAAGTTGTCATTCAGCACTAATGATGGTTTCTATTCTTTGCAAGATGATCACCAAGGGGGACAGTAATGGTTAAGGCCCAGACTCTGGAGCCAGGCTGCCTGGGACTGTATCTGGACCCCATCACTTACCGGCAAAGCACTTTACTTCCTGAGCCAATGACCACTTCTGCTATGTAGTGAGAGTACTTACCCAAGAGAGTGCTTGGAAGAATCAAAACACGTTAATGGTGCTGTGGGCAGGTGCAGGGGCCTAGGCCTGAGGGACACTTGGTAGCTGGTTCTAGGGCGGCTGCTGAGTGGACGGTGCTGAGGTCCTCCCTTGCACTCCTAAGTTCTGACTCTTGAGGCTGCTGTTCTTCATGCCTCCACAGCCACTGAGGACTGCAGCCTCCATCCTCCCAGTCCCCTGCCACTGTGTGTTGTGGCTGCCCTGCCCCATGGGCTCTCTGAGATTATAGGCCCACATTTGCCCTTTACCCTCCCTGTGCAGGGCTCCACTGGGCCCCACCAAGAGCTGTGACCTCCCGGATGTCACGTTGCCCTCGGACAAGGCTGAAGCCCCTGGTAACAGCAGTGCTTTCCTCCCAGGGCTCCCACAAGTGTGTTCAGACCAGAAGAAATGAGGCTCTGTGCATGCAGGAGACTCAGTGGGCAAGGGAGCATGGCGTCCACTCTGGAGGACAGCAGGGAGTGGCAGGGCTGTGGAGTCATGTCCCTGCTTCTCTGCGTCTCCTCCAGCACTCTCCTGTCCACTGACAGTGGGTTCTCCAGGGTGGGCAGTGTGGGGCACACACTCCAGATGTCCCTCAGGAACGAGCCTGTGGTAGGCTCTCCAGGGATGTGACCTCTTCCCCAGGGGTGGACAGAGCTGAGAAGCATCTGTGTCTGTGACTTTACAGTGTTTGGAATTCGCAGAGATGACTAGGACGTCTGAGGAAGTGAGACTCGGGGCACTGAGCCCTGGTGAGCCTGGGCAGGTGCCCAGGAGGGGCTGAAGGAGCAGAGGGAAAGGCAGAGGGGAGCCCGCGTCTGAGGGGGCATGAGGCTCTGCCGTGGTGGTGGGAGAGTCACGATATCTTGAGGCACCGAGTGTCAGGCATCAGAGAATCAAAGAGGGCTTGGGAGCAAGGGACTAACATAAACCAGCGCCTGACTGAGGACCTGGCAGCTGTGTGACAAACTGATGTGACTCCATTTTTAAAAATAAATAAATAACAGCAGCTTCTACCTCAAGGCCTGTCCTAAGGAAGGGGGCGTGACCCTTGTCCTTGGAAAAACCCACAAAGCACTCCTAAGCACATACCCACCCTGCTGAGTTGTTTGTCTGCAAATAACAGGAGAACTCTGTGGCGCCAGGTGTCCCTGACTCAGGCTAGATGAGGACCCATAGCAACCTCCAATCAGCATGAGTCAGGGAAAATACCTGGGATGCCAGATGACCGGCCCCCCAGTAGTTTATGGTGGTTGATAACATGTTGGGAAATCATGTAGTTTAGCACGTACACCCCTCGTGGCCTAAACCAATCAGTTCAAAGGAATCCCCCTCTTGTACTAATCAATCACCCTTACCCAACTTGTTCCCGCCAGTGAATGTGCTAATCAATGAAGAGTTGTTGTCTGACTTTCCTGCGGTGTGGAATGATTTGCTGTGTGATGTTGTGATGCATAGAGTATCCCCCCAAAACCTATAAAATCTCACTGAACAAAGGACTGGGACTCACTCCCTGGGACCGCTGTGTCGGGAATGGTTGTGAGTCCAGGCTCGAGCTTGCAATAAAGACTCTTGTGTGACCGCATCGGATTCGGCTCCTGGAGGTCTACTGGGGTCCCATGAATCTGGCATTACACGTCACTTCAAACTGAGGGGCAGGGCAAGGGGTGAGCAGGAGGGGTCCTGGGGCCCGCTGGGCCAGCTAGGTGAGCCAGGCTGAGGTGGGTGAGGAGGTGGAGGGAAGGGGGTAGGTTCTAGGGGTCATCTGAAGTTGGGTGGGAAAGATGGAAGGAGTCAGGTAGGACCCGGGGTTTCGGCCTGAGTGGCAGGGCAGAAAAGACTGCAATTCCTGACGTGGACCGATAGGAGGTGGACAGGGGTCGGGCAGGATGAGAAGACACCTGGCCACGTGGGTGCTCTGACATAGTCTCTCTGTTCCATGACAATGGTCTCCAAAACAGTCTGGGAACACTGACTCCTCCACTCTGAACACAGCGGCCAGTGAGGAGCAGAACAGGATTTGGACCACGGGCCGCAGCAGGTCTCTATGAATCATGCAGGACGTCCTTGCAAGGACGCCTGAGGGGAAGGTCTGCAGGGCCCAGCTTAAAAGAACAGGTCTGTGCTTCTCTGAAATCACCAATGAAAATACGCAACTGCAGAAATGCTCCACATTAAAAGCTTTTATTTTGAAAAATAAAATACAAAAGTCATTAAGTTGTAAATGTATACGGTAATTTCCCAACTTCTCAGAAACAATACAATGAATTACTTAAATAATTAAGATATTTAATATTATCCACATCAATACATTTAAACAGGCACAAGTGTTCTACGAAACATTGGACCAAGTACAGACAACCTATCCCAAAATGAAACTGCCCATTTTGCTTACAGAATACCATTTTTAAACCCTCCCCTTGAAAACGAAGTTTGGAATCTGTTAAGAAAAAATGAGGACAAGAGTAGGGCTAACTGAGGGCACTGTCCCCTGGCTCCTTATCCACAGGAGCGGACACCTGCCCTTGGCAGGAGGGGCTGGAGTGCACAGGAGACGGCCGGCCGCCTGGGCTCCGCTGGGCTCCGCAGCTCCCTGGGGCAGACAGACAGAGCATTAGGACTCCCGGGCTCCCTGCCTCCTGCCTCCATCCCTGCTCGGGGCAGGCACTGCAGGACTGCCCCGCGCACCTGCAAGTGACTTCTGTGCAAAGTGCAGAGGCAGCCCTACCCTGGGCACGGCTCAGTGAAGCCACTGAGGGCACCGCATCCAGGGTGCAGCAGTCACCTTGATACCTTGGCCATCTGAACAGGTGCACACTGAGACCCTGCAGAGAAAGTGCCAGAGAGCACGTGCCACACCGAGATGTAGAGGGACCCAAGAAACCAGGGACGGGCATGTCCCAGGATGCGCGGCAGCCCCCAGCTTCCCTGAGGGCTGGGCACCCACAGGCTCAGTCAGCAGGCCAGGGTGGAACACTGCCCTGGGCGCCCCAGGGCAGGGTCAACAGGCAACGCCTTCTCTCATGGACCAGCCAGTGGGTCAAGGAGGCCCCTGTGCATCAGCAGGGCTGGGGTACCACCTGCGGATGCTGAGGCCACCTGGGTGAACAAAATCATCCAGGATGCAGGACAGTGGTTGGACATGCAAGTCTGTATGCAAGGGGGCATGCAAAGGGTGTGCAGAGGACATGGTAGGGACACGCAGCATCTGCACCTTGGAAAAAAGGCAACTGTGATTCTAAAACCTATTAACTCAGTGACACAGCAGCGCTCCATAAATATAACGAACCACAAAGATCTCCCACTCAATCTCTCTTACTTAACTTCAGTTTTCTCATCTACAACAACAGGAATAACACGGGGTAGGAAAGACAGTGGAATGAGAAGGACATCATTACCCAAAGTACAAGTATGAAGACACGGATGGTGTGACTCTACTTTGTGTACCACCAGAGACATGAACAATTGTGCTCTATGTGTGTACTATGAATTGTAATGCATTCTGCTGTCATATATAACAAATTAAAATTAAAAAATAAGAAAACAGGAATAATAACATTTACCTGCCAGAATGCTTTGAGAACTGAAAGAATATATATATATAACTATATATTATGTGAACATAATTAATAGATAACTAAAAACAGAGTGCACTTGTGGGCTTATGCCTGGTTTGAAGAATGCACTCAGTACATGGTTATTACATAAAGTAAAAATAAAAGCAAAAATCAGGCCAGGTGCAGTGGTGCATGTCTGTAATCCCAGCAACTCAGGAGGCTGAGGGAGGAGGATTGTAAATTCAAAGCCAGCCTCAGCAACTTAGCTAAGGCACTTAGCAACTCAGTAAGACCTTGCTCTTATCAAATATAGAAAAAGGGCTGGGGATGTGGCTCAGTGGTTAAGTGCCCTGGGTTCAATATGCAGCACCAAAACCCAACTAACCAAACAGAAATTCAGCAAGCAAACTAAAGAAAAAAAATCATGACCATGTGTTTAGAGACGCTGTCTGGGCTCCAAATGACCTGGGGTGTGAGCACTTGGGAGCAGTTCTGCCAGGAGACCTGGGTTCAGAACCAGCTTCACCACAATCGACCTGAGGACGCACATGCACCCAGTCCCCAGGGGACTGGGAAGGCGTGCTGGCCACTCAACACTCAGCCCTTACAAGCCATCTCAGACAGCATGATACACTAAGTAGAGCAAGGGCCAGGCACAGTGGCCCGCGCCTGCAATCCCAGCTACAGGGGAGGCTGGGGAGGAGGATTGCCAGCCTCAGCAACTTAGCAGTAAGATCCTGTCTCAAATAAATAAATAAATAAATGTGTAAGGGCAATCTTGAAAAACCAAACAGAAGAAAGAAAAAAAATCTCATACACACATACTCGTCCAAGTCCAGCAGAAAGAGCAAGCAGCAGGGGCAGTGGGGAGAGCCTGGTGACAAGTCAAGAGAAGATGCTCTTTAGCTCTGGGCTCCCTCTTGCTCCATGAGATGACCTAATATCTTGCTCCCTCTGAGATCAGTTTCCTCATCAGCAAAAGGTGAGTGGGCTTGTCTGTCTACAGGTTTTCTCCATAGTCATGATGTCAGACCCCTTCATCACCAAGGTAACACCTAACTCTATTTGTGTGTCCCTGAAGATGTGAGGGTGTTAAGTGCTACCAGTGACCTCTTTATCTTACAGGTGGCACTCTTTGTTTTTTTGGTGGTGCTGGGATTGAACCCAGGGCCTCATGCATGCTGGGCAAGCACTCTTACCACTGAGCTGTATCTTCAGCCCTTTGTTTTACAGATGAAGAAACTAGGACATAGTGAGGTTAAGTAATTTGCTCAATGCCACACAAGTGACCGAGGAAGGATTCCAACCCAGGCACCTGACTCCAAAGCTGTGCTCTCCACCTGGTGATGTGGCCTTCTGCGACAGTCCAGGGGGACACCCCAGAACCCAGGAGTGAAGCCCAATCCTCACCTCGAGGTGTGAAGGAGGTTCCAGGCCCTGCTACTCCATAGGCTCCGTCTGTTGAGGGAAGAAAAGATGCTTTAAAGTCCTTGAAGTTGGCTGGCCCAGTGTGTCTGTTCCACTGAGACATCGGGCAGGGTCTGCAAGCTCTGAGCCCAGACTTCCCAATAAACACAGTCTACAGCTGCTGTACAACGAAGCCTCTGACTGGCTTCCCGGGTTCCAGAGAGGGAGATTGAACCCTTGATGTCTCCCAAGTGAAGTTTATGTGTGAGCTGAACCACATTAACCACAGGGCTCTGACATGGCTGCAAGTCTTTTGCCCAATTTTTAAAAACCTTTTTATATTGATTTGTAGTAATTATCTATATTCTACAAGTGAGTCCTTTGTTTCAAACATTTTTCCTGCTTAAGACTTATTATTCTTCATGATTTTTAATAAGTACATATTCTCAGAACAGTTCAAATTAACAGTTCAAATTGTCCATCTTTAAATAATCAGTGCTTTAAAAAAAACAACAACAACAACAACAAAAAAAAACAAAACACTTTTCAGTTGTAGGTGGACACAATACTTTTATTTATTTACTTTTATGTGGTGCTGAGGATGGCACCCAGGGCCTTGCACGGGCAAGGTGAGTGCTCCACCGCTGAGCCACAGCCCCAGACCCATGATCAGTGCTTTTAGGACTTGTTTAAGAAGCCTTTTCCTCTGAAGGTCATGAAGATATTCTCCTGCGTGGTCTTCTAACAACCTCATTATTCTGTCTTTCCCAGTTAGGTCTACAATCTACTGCAAATGACTTTCATGTGCCATGGGCCAGGGCTGTCCCCTTAGTTTCAGTCTCAATTCCCTTTTCTGCGTCCTCCACATTCAACCAAACCAGCCTTGGACCTGACGTCCCTTCAAGACTGCCTCTTGGACCGTTCTCTGGCTTGGATGACTGCAGCTTCTGTGTGAGAGTCCACTTATGACCCACCCAGATTTCTGGGACGGTCAGGCCCACAGCCTTGCACACCTCTATCTGTAAGTTGATCAAAGTTTTTTCAGATAAATCAGGAGTCTCTTGGGAAGATCTTTCTTTTTCCTCAAATGCCTAAGGATGAATTCCAATTTCTCATGTAGTATAGATACCCAGTAAACATCTGCTGAGTAAATGAAATGACTGGATTGATGAATTTCATTAAATATACGAGATTAGGATCTGGGATTATGGGTCAGTGTCACAGCACTTGCCTAGCATGTGTGAGGCACTGGATTTGACCCTTAGCACCACATAAATAAACAAAATACAGTTGTTGTGTCCGTGCACAACTAAAAATATTTTTTTTTAAAATATGCCTTGAAAGAACTCTGAAATTCTCAAGCAACAGGTATCAGGGATTGGTGGCTGTCCTGTGACCTCTCTGGTGTGAGTCGGGCCTTTCTCAGTGGGCAGCCGTCTGCTCCAGGCTTACTTCATGCACACCTCACAAGTCTGCGTGTGGTGGCATCTAGAAGAGCCTGGAACTGAGTTCAGGGCTGAGTCTCACCCCGACCAAGAAGCTGAGCACTGACAGCAGCATCGGGAGATGGCAGGTGGCCGCTGCCCTCCAGCAGTGGCCCTTGTTCCTTCCAACCCCTGCCTGTGGTGACTGGGGAGCCCAGAGGAGCTACTCCTGGCCCGTCAGCCATCATGCTCCCTGTTCCCCGTGTATCAGGAAGCCATGGTGGAAAGCAAGTGGGTGTGAAGTTATCAGGAACAACTCTGGTTTGAAAGGAAAAGTTAACAAGCTTCATACTCTGGCCACTCTTCCTGAGGGCTAACGGCTGGGTCCTGTAGGTGCTAAGCGAGGAAACCGGAGGGCCATGGGGGGAGTGTAGTGAGAACAGAGAGGGTGGCCTGCACTCTGCTTATCTGAAGCAGGGCAGACTCACCACAGCACCCTCCTACTAGGTGGGAAACACTATGTGGCCTTGGTTTCAGCTATCAATAGGAATTTCCCTAGTTTTGGAAGCTACTGAGCTCCTTGAAATCAAGATTGTTAAAACTGCCAGGCACTGATGCCAATCCTCCTACCACCAGCACATATCATGATCTCTTTCCTATTTTTCTCTTTTGTTTTCCTAATTTTGACTTTTTAAATTTCAGGATGTCTTTAGAAAGATTAGTTTGATGCAAGATCCCATCTCTTATACAGCAGGAGGAAGCAGATACAGTGTACAGTACCTGGGGTTTTTCCTTCAGAAAGTCAGGTAGCTGGAATTCTCCTTTGTAGACCTGAGAAAACAGAGCACGTGAGAGTTGAAGGAAGCCACCCTGGCCCATCCCCTCAGGAGGCTGAAGGAAGCCACTCTGGCCCATCCCCTCAGGAGTCTGCAGCACTGACTGTCTTCCCTCTTGGAGGGTTCAGAGCAGCCACAGGGTAGGACCATGGCCAAGCTGCTCCAGGGCTGCCTCAGTGCCCCTGGTGGGCTGGCTGGGCAGGCTCAGCATCCAAGCTTCCAGACACACCAGCTGAGAGGCAGCAGGCCCCAGCAAGGCTCACAGGACCCACCTGCTTAGGAATAAGCTTTTCCTTGCAACTCTGGGGATAATCCAACTTTATGTTCCTCAGTTTACACATTATTCCCACCATGATATGAACACTGAATGATTCTTAAAAGTGATATATACTTTAATTTCATAAAAACTCATTCTAATCAATAAGTATTTTCAATATATAAAAATGTTTCTAGCACAACAAATAGCTAAAAAGTAATTTTAAAAAACACTACCATTCACAATAGCCTCAACCCTGCCCTAGGGTTGAACATAATAATAGATGTGTAAGACCTTTATTTTTTTTTAATATTTATTTATTTATTTTTTAGTTATCGGCGGGCACAACATCTTTGTTTGTATGTGGTGCTGAGGATCGAACCCTGGCCGCACGCATGCCAGGCGAGCGCGCTACCGCTTGAGCCACATCCCCAGCCCCTGTGTAAGACCTTTATATAGCAAACTGTAAAACACTGAGAGAAACTAAAGAGCTACTCAAGTGGCAGGGCACACACTTTCAGGGACAGGAAGGTTCCAACAGTAGTGACATTCACGCCTTCAGTTATTTCCAGGTAGATTCTAGCATGTTTTTTCTTTGAGGGGAAAGAGACATGTTTTTTCTTTGAGACTTCAAGCAGGCAGTGAAAGTCACTGGAAGTGTACAGGCCCCAAGTAGTCAAGGACATCTTAAAGGAAGGACAAAGCAGGAGGGCTTATGGCAACAGATGCCAAGACTTAGTACTCAGCCATGCCCAGGTCACATAAGTCACCCACGCAAGCTAAGCTCACTGAATAGCCATGACCACCGCAGTTAGGTGCGAAGCAGAACCGGGAGCCGGGAGGCCCCTTGTGCAGAGCCGGCGATATGCAAGGGGTGCTGCTGCCACAGTGGTGCCTACAGCCACAGGCAGCAGCACAGACAGGACTGCTGCTGGGCCACCAAGGGTTCAGGCAACTTGATTGCCTTCTGAATTTAGTTACTAAAGTGCAACATACATGCAGGAAAGTGTACCTTCACCTCCCCTCCAGTGACTGTAATCCACGCAGCCTCACAGGCCGTGCACCTCAGGATGTAGAAAGCCCCCACCCTTGAAGGCCTCCCTCCCCCCGCCCCCCACGAGATCTTCAGGCTGGCTGCACGTGTGGGTTTCAGAAGTAAGGCTTCAACGGAGGGATGAAAAAAAATGTTAAGTCACAAATACAAACAAATCCAAAAGGGGCCACGGAAGCTATCAACTAAAAGCTCAATTAAAAAGTAAGCAGGAGGGGGCTGAGGTTGTGGCTCAGCGGTAGAGCACTCCTCTAGCATGTGCGAGGCCCTGGGTTCAATCCTCAGCACCACATAAAAATAAGTAAGTGAAATAAAGGTATTGTGTCCATCTACAACTAAAAAATAAATATTAAAAAAAGAAAAAAGTAAGCAGGAGGGCTGGAACTGTGGCTCGGCGGTAGTGCACTTGCCTGGCATGTGCGAGGCACTGGGTTTGATTCTCAGCACCACATATAAATAAATAAAATAAAGATCTATCAACAACTAAGGAAAAAAATTAAGCGAGAATGGGCTGGAGTTGTGGCTCAGTGTAGAGCACTTACTGAGCATGTGTGAGATCCTGGGTTTGATCCTCAACACTGCATATAAATAAATAAAAGATTCATTGACAACTAAAAAAGTATATATATAAAAATTTTTAAAAAAGTGGCAATGGCTGGAGCATTATGTTAAGTGAAATAAGTTGAACTCAGAAAGTCAAGGGTGGCACAGAGTTTTCTCTCCTAGGTGGAAGCTAGAGAGGAAAAAGGAAAAACAAAGAACAGGGAATCTCGTGAAAACAGAAGGGAGACCAGTAGGAAAGGGGAACAGGATAGGAGCACTGGGGAGCGAAACTGGCCAAATCACATGGCCACATGTACATGTATGTGTGCCAATGCATGCCAGTGACCCCAGCATTATGCAGAATTATAAATAAAAATGTATGAATTTTTTTAAAGGGGAAGATGCCTGAGGTTTTCTCCTTTCAGCATCACGTAGGGAACAAAGGCTGACACTGGAGAAAGCCCTTTCCTCTGACCAAGAGCTCCTCCCTAGTGCAGGAAGGCAGCGGCCACTCTGCTTGCAGAGCAAAGCCAGGTATGGATTTCCCTGGGGAAAAGAACATGCCTTGGACATTCTGCTCCCACCAGCCCTCAGAGTGCTCTGCTGAAGGCAGGAGGCCAGGGATGCAGACCCCCCCCCCAGGGGCCCACAGTGGGCAGCAGCAGCACGGTCACTGGAGAGCCCCTTGTGTAGCTGCACCCTCACCTGTGGGGCGTGCTACTGCCACAATTCCTCCCTGTACACCCAGCTTGTGGTGGTGTCTGGCTGGAGCTGACAGCTGCCTCCTGTGGCTATATTACATTAATAGGCTCCTGGGTCCAACCTCCAGCTCTGCAGCACAGCAGCGCCCCTAAGACTTCAACCTCCAGCTCTGCAGAAGAGCAGCACCCCCTAGATTCCCACCTCCAGCTCTGCAGCACAGAAGCATCTCTAAGACTTAGTTTTATTATTTAGAGCAATTTTCTATTTACAGAAAAATTGAGTACAAAGCAGAGTCCTGATATATTTCCCGCCCTTTCCCCACTTTCCCTATTTTTAACATCTTATGCTACTGCAGTATATTTGTTACAATTAATGGAGCAGTGTGGAAATAATGTTATCAACTAAAGCCCACAGTTTACAACAGGGCTTGCTGTTTATGTTGCCCTACATCTATCTCATCATTTGTTTTTTGTTTGGTACTGGGGACTGAACCCTGAGAGCACTTAACCACTGATCTTTTTACTATTTCCCTAGTTTTGCCCTTTCCAGAGTGTCACAGAGTTGGATTTAGATAGTGTGTAGCTTTTCAGATTGCCTTCTTTCCCTTAGCACTATGCATCTGAAGTTCTTGTCTTTTTGTGACTTGACAGCTCTCTTCCTTCCTGAATACTATTCCAAGCATCTGGATGTACCACTGTTTGAAAAATTTTTATTTATATTTATTTAGTTATAGATGAACATACAATATCTTTATTTATTTTTATGTGGTGCTGAGGATCAAACCCAGTGCTCACACATGCAAGGCAAGTGCTTTACCACTGAGCCCCAGCCCCAGCCCCCACTGTTTGATCATCGATTCCCTGCTTCCAAGCTTTGGTAATTATGAATGAAGCTGTCATAAGCTTCTGTGCCTAGGTTTCATGTGAACATGTGCTTTCAGCTCCTTGGGGTCAACACCAAGGAGTGTGACTGCTGGATCACATGATAAGAGTATTTAGTTTTGCAAGAAACTACCATGTTCACTTCCAAGAGGCTGTACCACTTGCATTCCAGGAGCAACCAACAGTGAGTCCGTCTGCTGCCACATCCAGTGGTACCTGGCACTGCAGCAAGTGCTCTGGATCTGGACCATGTTAACTGGTAGTGGTGCCTCAGGATTGCTTAGTCTGCAATTCCCTATCCGTGTGTGCCCAGCAGACTGTTGTGTGCTTAGCTTCCATCTGGGCATCTCTGGCAGAACTCCTTCTCAGATCTTCTGGTTGTTGTTTAATGGGGCTGTCTTATTATCTCTTGAGGTGTTATTATTATTATTATTATTGTATTGGTAGATGGACACAATGCCTTTGTTTATCTTTATGTAGTGCTAAGAATTGAACCCAGTGCCTCACACGTGCTAGGTGAGTGCTCTCCCACGGAGCCCCAGCCCTAACTATCTCTGAGCCTCAAGAGCTCTGTGTGTATTTTAGATGACAGGCCTTTATCACTGGTGTACTTGCAAAATTGCTTCTCAGTCTGCAGTTTGTCCTTTCATTCTCTTCATCTTGTTTGCTTTTTCTGAAATTAACAAAGATTCTTTAACTTTCATCTATTAGTATGATCATAGTTTAAAATCTATATTTAAAATGAGTTTCTTGTAAACAACATATAAATGGGTTTTGAGTTTTAATCCACCCTGACAGTCTATCTACTGGTGAGTTTAGGCCATTCACTTTTTCAGTGGATGACTATCTTATCATATTTATAATTATTTTCCATTGGTGACTTTTTCTTTCTTCTTCTCTTTTACTGTCTTCTTCAGTTTTACTGGAGCGTTTCATGATTTCATTTTCTCTCCTCGTTAAGCATATTAAGTATGCTGCTCTTCAAAAAATTCTGAGTCTCTGTACTTGAGTTTGCAATACATATTTTTTTTTTTAATTTTTTTTAGACGTTGATGGACCTTTATTTTGTTCATTTACTTATATGTGGTGCTGAGAATTGAACCCAGGGCCTCACACATGCTAGGCAAATGCTCTACCACTGAGCCACAACTCCAGCCCTGCAATACATATTTACAACTCATCTTTGTCCATTTCCAAATGACACTGCACTGCCTGCGGGTGGTGAGATCTTCTCACTGCCCAGCACTCCCTGCGCTCACAATACTGCTATCACTCACTCACTGATTCATGAGCTACAATCACCAAATATATGGCTGCTACTACAGTTCTGAATAAGCTGTTGTCTGTCAGATAGCTAAGAAATTTACTCTCATTCCTTCACTAGAGCTCTTCCTCTGTTTAGGTAGCTCTGGTTTCTTACCTACATTACCTTCCTCCTCTCTAAGGAACTTCTTGTGACATGTCTCTCAAGGAGATCTATTAGTGATGACATCCCTCCATTATTCGCCTAAGCAAGCCCTTCTTCAGTTATGAAAGATAACTTTGCTGGATACTGAATTTTG